AGGATTTACAACACACAGGAAAATCACATCAGATGACAAAATGGTGGACAATCACACAATACTGGGAATCATAGCCTAGCCAAATTGATACATATATTTTTGGGGGACACAATTCAATCCATGACAGGGGGAGGGTGGTTTGGAAAATACAGTCTAAGGCGCCAAGCACAACCACCACCTTATTAACTTTCTGATGTAACTGAGCAATCCTACCTAGTCTCAGGAACATATTTAAAAGTTAAGAAAAATTAAGGCCACTAGGGGACAGTATAAGACTAATTCCCTAGGCTTGGGAGTGGCTAGGGTGTTGGGAAGGAGAGAACTACCTTCTTTCCAGTGAACCCAACTGACCATCTTGAAGGAAGTCTGCCTTCTTCCTGGAGTCCTACCCTTTCTTCTGTCACTCCAAGGAGTGGTGTGATAAAGAATATGCTGAATGCAGTCTAAAATTAGAGATGGGCAAGATGGGTTTCATTTACACGTTGTGAGTGTAAGTCAGTCCTCTATCATACATCCACAGCATTAACTAACTTGCTCATTGACACCTCACTGATACAAGCAAAGGAGTTTCTAATACTTGTTTTCTAATTTGACTTTTCCCTTTTGGTTGTCAGCTTGTGAATCATGTTCTTGTTCTCCCCTTAATATTTACAGGCTCCATCTGGTGGTCAACAATCTCCTCTAGCCTGTGGTTACTGTGCGATGTTATCCTAATTGGCCTTTTTACTTTCAAATTTTCTTTTTAATTGTCTGTATTGGTTTCATTGTCTTTAGGATACGCTGTAACTAAGAGGCCCTTCATAATCTGCCCTTTACATGACCTTCTAAAATCATTTAAAAAAAAAAAACCTACTTCCCATACTCTACCCAGCTGTATCATGTAATTCCAGTTCTCTGCGTATGACAGCATGTTACACGTGCTCTGCCTTCTAGGACTTCCCACCTATTGTTCTTCTCCCTACTAGGGATAGTTGGGCAGCATATTCCCTTTCCCAGTCGTCTTGGAAGCTTCCTACTCTGGATTTCCCTAGTACCGTCTACTCCCCCCATTATAGCACTTGTCGCACTGTGCTGTAGGTATCTATTCATACTTCTGGAGCCATCACTACTCTGTAAGTGTAACAAGGCCATGTCTTATTCACCACTGTGTCCAGTGTCTAACATACACGTAGTACGTGCTCAGTAAATATCTGCTGAATGAATGAACAATGAGAGAACAAATGAATGAAATCAACCGAAGGGGAGATGTGCCATCTTATCTATTTTTTTTTAAAATAACAGCTTTATTGAGAGATAATTTACATACCATAAAATTCATGCCTGTAGTGTGTAATTCAGTGGTTTTTAGTATCTTATTTATTTTTGGATTAGCTAATTTTAGAGAGTAATTTAGTTATAAGGGAAGATATGGAATAGAAAATTTACAAAAACTATTTCTTCTGAAAATATTGTTTCTACTGTTGTAAGAATTTAATATATTATTATTTCAAATATATAATGTCAGTAATGTTACACTTAAATTAAAAATGTATAAACATGTCAAAGGAATGAAATGCACATATTTTATTACTGTGAATTATGAACTCACATATCCCTTTTTAAATTCAAATGCTTACCTGGGGTGTCTATAATGAATAAATCTTCACTTGTTGCATACATCAGTTCCTCTAGCAAGTCTCTGTGGTTGTGTGAATGTTTCTACATGCGTCTATGTGTACCTGTATGTATGTGGTTTAGCTGATTCTTGAGTGTGGGGATGGGCCAGGAGGTTGGGGGTTTCCACTGCCATAATCATTGCTTTCGTTTCTAGGTAGTGTTTCCAAATCTTTGCTTCATTTCACTCATTACAAACAAGTAGCTTGGTTTATATTGCATGTCTTTTCTTTTTCAGATGCAGCTGGTCATACCATAAATAGTAAAGAAGAATAAAACTGTGGGTAACAAAGGAAGTATTCAGAATGGCACATTCTGCTGATAATTAAATCAACAAATACTTAGTTAGGGCAAGGCCCTGTGCTATGGGACACAGAGTAACACAAGTCGTGGTTTCTCCCTACACCAAACTTTCAACCAGGTTGGGGGAGTGAGGCATAAACACATGAAATTTTAATATAAGGGACTGTTGTTAACTGCCGTCCAGTGGTTCCCACTCGTGGCAACCCCACGTGTGCAGAGTAGAACTGCTCCCATAGAGTTTTCACAGCTGTGACCTTTCAGAAGTAGATCGCCAGACCCAACCTGAAGCACCTCTGGGTGGGTTTGAACTGCCAACCTTTCGGCTAGTAGCCGAGCACTTAACTGTGTGTGCCACCCAGGGACTCCTAAAATATGAGATAGACAACTATAAAACATGAGACAACATAAAGCAGGATAATGGGGTTCGAATGACTATTAAAGATATGGGAACTTATTTTAATAACTATAAATTATAATTGATAGTTTGACAAGTAGCAACACTTAGGAAAGTATAGGACAAAATATCTGAGCCTGGGACTGTCTCAGCAATCTTGGTCTCAGGACTGCTGTAGGTGTTAAATGCTGGGCATTAGTACGGAAACAGAAGGAGTGATCACTACAACCTTCAGTTTTTGGGAAGTCTTCACTCCATGGAGAAGGGGGAGATGATTATTCGGCAGAGAAAATTATTATTAGGCAGAGAAAAGGGCACTCGAGGCCCTAGAGAAAGCGTGAGATGTGTTTGGAAATGATAAGAAGACCCAGAGCAGAGTCTGGGGAAGAAAATTAGGTAGAGGGCCACACTAAGGCTTAGAGAAAATGAAAAGGCATTCCTTGGGAAGAGACCAGAAACTCCTACGTCAGAACCAAGAAATGATTGAAAACTTTGGAGTGACACAGAAGTGGCACTTTATGAAGACTAATGTGGCACCAGTATGGGCTGAAGGCCAGTTAGGAGGTTATTATAACCTTTTAGGCAACAATGAAGATTGAGCTAGGGTGTGAACGAAAGCAAGAGGAGGAACATTTCAAGAGAAAAGCCATCAGGAAAGGACTGTTTTGGTGGGTAGAGGGCAGATGACAACAAGCTGAATTCTAGACCTGCTGATAGTTAAGGTAATGGCAGGATGGTCGTGGAATTATCTCAGAGGCGGTGGGAAGGGCACAAGTGAACTGGCAGAGAAGGAGAGCTAGATACGTTAGATCTGGAAAGAATATGCACAGAGATAGTAGTTTAAGGTATAGCACTGCTAAAGCAGTGTGTGCAGTCAGCAAAAGAGACAAGATAAGGGTTGAGAACAGAATCCTGGAGCAGGCAGAGGAACTCAGAGAAGAAGGAAGATATGACAGGAGAGAATGGGGGTAGCTTGTTGCAGAAGGAGGGGCCACAAGTCAGCAGCTTTCAGAGCAGAGTGTAGGGAGCATGAGGACTCTGAAAAAGAACAGGCAACTGGCTTCCCTGGTAAATTTTAGGACACTATGGCAGGGAGTATGTTTTATAAAGAGAAAAGGTAGTGAAGAAACGGGGAAGCAGGCGTAGACCAACTGATCTGGAATAAAGAGCTACGCATGTATGTAAGCAGAGGGGAAAGGGCCACAGCAGAGACAGAATAAATGAAGACCTGGAAAGAGAGAAGGGTTACTGACCATGAAGGGAAGCTGAGGCAACAGAGTTGAAGGCTGGGGCTTTAAGAGAGGTAGAAAAGGTTTAGAACAGCCACTTGCAAGGAGTACACAACAGAATGAGGAATGAGTGAATAAAAGCACTGCCTACAACTTCCCTGACATGGGGCATGGACAAAGTCTGTTTTCTTCTGCTTCTGCCTTTACTCACTGTGTCTTCACCACCTGCAACCCCAGATTTCCCAACTCAGCCTTCAAAAGTCTACTCTAAGATCCTACTTCATAACCCAGAGGCTGTACAGACAGATTACGATCTGGGCTGGCTGTGACTGGAAGGAGGAAAATATTTACACGCAGGAAACAGCCTCTGAAAGGAGGCTGAGCACAACTTCTGAGATAGACGTAAGGGAAAGAGGAAAGAAAGCATGAAGATCAAAGAGGTTTTGACATGCAGAAGTAAGCTAAAGGAATTTGCAATAGCCTAGGATCTCAGTAAAATGGAAGACAAGCTGAGAGAAGTGAGAGTGGACCTGTGATTGAGGAGCATGGTTAAGACTTTCAGAACTACTGCGTTGAGGACATGTGATGGGAAATTAACTAGAAGTGATACAAAGACAAAGGAACCACACTGATGTCCAGTTGAGCTTATATTCATTGGCAGAGATGACCTGCTCAAGAAACACTTGCAGTGCTTCATGGAGAAAAACAGATGGCAAGACTCACCAAACAGCCATAACAAGGCACGTATGGTAGAACGGCACTGTAGTTGATGGATTTCAAAGAATAGAGAGTAACTGAAACAGCTGCCTGCAGGTTCCGGGTTTGATTAAAAAAGAGGCAAGTGAAATCAGAAGTAGATGTTAGAGGTCAAGGGACTAGCGGTAGAAAACATGGCAAAATGCAGAGATGGTCAAAATGCGGGAATAGAATGGTTGGAAAAGGTAGGAGGGAGGATTTTAGAGTCTGAGATCTCAGTAGGAGTGAGTTGGAGTTGAGGTGTTAAGAGAAATTGTGAGGGTAGGGCATCAGGAATGACAAAAACATGGCTGTTGACATCACTGAGGATGATTAAAAGAACTAGAGTGAAGGAGCCTGAGAGCCATATACTAAAGTCCTTGAGGAAGATGGAGACTTATTAGAGGCAACTGGATGCTAGGGAGTGGGTTGTTTAAATGCACCGAGTTACTTTACATTTGTCTAATTTGAGAAGGGTACTTGTCTGAATGCATGACACTACTGATGGTTTTAGTACCTCTTCAAAAGTCTTGAGATTTATAGATGGCACAATCACTTCCAATGTCCCACTCCATCCTCTGGAAGAAGTAGACCATGGTGCTTTCCAATAGTAATCCACTCAGGATGGCCAACAAGGACAGTTTCCGGTTGATGTTCAGGGTCACTGGAAAAGAAAAGCCAACTAGTAAGTTTTTAAAAGTTTAATCAAATGATATTGGCATGTAAACTATGTGGTAGTATGAACTGTTTTGTAAAGGTGATCTGATTTAGAATATCTGTATTTGTTTTTATTAATCTATGCTGTTACCGTCTCCCATTTGCCCATCTGCAAACATTTGAGAGCCAAAGTATCTGCTTAAAAACACTGAGCTTCTCCTCCTCAAATTAAGAAGTAGATTCCTATGAGTATCCAAAGAGAAAATAAAAAAAAGACTCTATGGTTAAAAGAGAATAACAAAAAAATGATACTCCTACTGTCACAGTCTGCAAAATGGTAAGGATTATGATAAAAAGTATCAGGTAATCGGCTTATTTAAAATAGTACTTCTCACAATGTACAGGAAAAATTGAGACATACACAGCTACTTACCCCTTTCCTGGTATAGCAGGAACTGTACTAGACTGGGAGTAGATTCCTGGCATTCTATCCTGGCTTGACAACTACTCAGCCACGTTACTTTGGACAAGTCACTTAACCCTCATGGCTCCAAGAGCTCATTCATTAAATCCAAGTAATAATGGCTGCTCCACTAACCTAACATGACAGAGTGCATATGAAAGCATTTTGAAAGCTATAAAGTACTACATGATTAAATTTAACAAATACCAAGTCCCTGATATGTATAAAAAGACACTATACAGATGTCAGGTATTGTTATTATCCTGTGGAAAATTCTATTGTTCAACAGGCTATAGTCTAGAAACAAGGTTTTAAGCTTTTATATGGGTTGAAAGCTGAGAAGGCAGAATAAAAACATAAACATACCTCTAATTGCCTGAAAATTTGATGTAAGGACAAACACTTTAATCAGTTTGAGGCACAGAGGTGTGTAGTCATGTTCCCAAATGACAGCTGGAATCAGCAAGAGTTTTCCATAGCTAGATAATAATAATGCTTTCAGCAGTAAAATGAAGTTGAGCTTTTTTTTCACTGTCATGGGTCGTTCGACCCACAGAAAAGTAAAAATGCCAATAAAAAAGGCAGTTTGTTCTAAGGAGGAAATGGAAAATAAAAACATGAATATTCCCATCCCAACCATATTCCCTTAAAAGCAAATAAACCACAAATTCCAAAATGTAACTTATCAGTTGACTTCATAAAAAATGCTTTATCAAGATCAAATTTTCTTTTTAAAAAAAAAGAACCCCTGGCTTTTGTGTAAAATCCTGCTGGTATGATTTCAGAAACATATTCCAACAATTCTTTCATGAAGTGTTTCATCATTCACTGAAGAAAAAATAACTCCATTAGAGTTGTAACCAGTAAGTTTTCCAAGTTCCTACTAGGGAGCAAGATTCTGTTTAAACATCTTCAGTGTAAGAGATCTCCACAGCAAGAATAAACAAGGAAAATGGAGGTTTTAAGTCTAAAAGAGGAGACTCATTCTAAGAAGAATATATGAAGACATTTTCCTTCATGTATTCTTCCATTATTTACTGAGTGCCCACTATGTACAAGATTTCGAATACTGTTACCAAAATCAAATGAACAGACTTCCTTTATTATCTTAACAAAACTATTTTTGAGCGCAACTCCTTATACTTCCAGAGAGTATTAATAGGACAGAGTCTAAATTAGAAGAAGGAGTGGAATACAACACAATCTGTTCTGTTCCTATTAACTAGGAATTTGACATTTCTTTTTAACTACACTATTATTTTATTAGGTTTGTGAGTCCTCTGATTACCCAGCTGTATTCATTTTGAGTGGTCTGTCCCTAATTCTTTTTATCTTGTTATTGTAATTTAGGTTTCTGCAAAATCAGGTTTTTCAGAAACACATATATTACAGCAGAAACAATTGTATTTTCCTTAAAATGTCTTAGAACATAGCCAAACTAAAGAGGTCCCCAATATAGGTGCCTAGGACCAATAATATAATTTAGGATGATTAGCCTGCATGGAATTTGCCATACTCTTCAGGGAGACATGCCATTTTCCCCTCAAAATAACTGAAGGATGTCAACTGCGAAGACTTGCTCAAACGGGAAGATCTCAAAGGCTGGGTTTTGGATTAAAGCTTAAAATTATATTAGGTTCTAGTTCTTGGGTTAGGTGATGTGTTCATGGATATTTTTAATATTACTATGCTTCATAAGATGCCAATGTTAATATATTCTTTTGTATGTTTCAAATATTATTTAAAAAGACAGTGAGGAAACATTTACAGTAAGTTTTTTAAAACTGTGGCAGCGGAATCCAAATTATGTCTAAAATTACCAACAGAACAGATATCATGGTCATTATCATAAGCTTAGTAATTAAATCATGACTCATTTCTCACTGTACGCTCCAAGAGAGCGGAGATTTTTATATGTATTTTTCCTGGATACAGCTTTAGTGCCTAAAGTGCACTGAAGTATTTAATAATTATTTAGGTGGATGAATAATACATCATTGAACCTAACTAGTGACAACGTGCCTCAGATTAGAATGCATGCCCGCATGTATGTATCTATGCATTCACTCATTCAATTTATTCAACAAATATTTACTGGGCACCTAAGTGCTCAGCTGCTAACCGAAAGGTTGGCAATTTAAACCCACCAGTGGCTCTGTGGGAGAAAAGGCCTGGTGATCTGCTCCCATAGATTACAGCCTAGGAAACCCCATAGGGCAGTTCTACTCTGTCCTATAGGGTCGCTAGGAGTCAGAAATGGCTTGGCACACAACAACAACTACTACATGGCAGGCACTTTCCTGGTGCTGGAACTACATCAGTGACCAAAGCAAAGACCACTGCCTTCATTCAGCTTATGTGTCAGTGGGAGAAGGTAGACCATAACAAATAGATAATAACTTCTATGATATGTTAGATGATAAGTACCATAAGAAAAAAAAGTAGAACAGGAATGGGAGATCAGAAGTATCAGAGGGGAGGTGGTAGGTTACAATTTTAAATAGAGTTAATCAGGGTAGGCTTCATTTAAGCAAAGACTTGGGATGTGAGAGAGTCAGACATGCAGATGTCAGGGGATAAGTGTTCCAGGCATAGGGAACAGCCAGTGCAAAGGCCTTAAGGTAGAAGCTTGCCCAGTGTGTTTGAAGATGAGCAAGTGAACTAGAGGCTGGGTCAGAGGTGAGATGGGAGATAGTGGAAATAGATGAGATGCACTGGGAACGGCACATCATGGAGGGTCTTCTAGGCCACTGTAAAGACTTTAGCTTTGACTCTGAGTGAAGTGGGAAGTTATTGTTTTATCGAAGAGGAGTCAGACTGACTGGTGGGGAAACAAGCTAGAAACAAGAGGCTATTGTAGTTATCCAGGTGAGAGATGATGGTGGCTTGCAGCGGGGCGGTAGCATGGAATGGAAAAATAGAATATTTTGAAGGTGGAGACAAAAGTATTTCCTGATGATCTGACTATGGGGTATCAAAGAAAGAGGCATCAAGGAATCAAGGAAGACTACAAGGTGTTTTTGTTTAAGCAACTAAAAGAATGGAGTTACCTGTAACTGAGATGGGGAAGGCTGTGGGTGGAACAGATTTGGAATGGGGGGTGGGGGAAGGGGTGGAGGCAGGGAGATCAACAGCTTGGTTTTGGATATGGTGATTTATTATCCAAGTGGAAATGTTGAGAAGGCAGATGGACATAGAGCCTGGAGTTCAGGACAAAGGTCTGGATTACAGATGTATATTTGAGTTCTCAGCACCTAGATGAATTTTAAAACCATGGGACTGGACGAGATGGTTAAAGGAGTGAGGGTAGATAAAGGAGAAAAGGGGACACACTGTCCAGAAGTATCATGACACGGGAGTGGGTCAGAGACTTCATATCACTAAAATGCCTCAGGATAATCAAAGAATTTAGAAAAAGAAAAACATGGAAACTAGTAGGTAATAAAACAGTCACAGAAGTTGTATAATCCAACACAATTCTGACCCTAGAAAAATAATGACCCAAACTCAAATTCTGAAGAAAATCAATTTCTGAACTTAAGAAATTTGGGGGAGTAGCTAATTTCCCTGTATACAGTCAGATAAGTAACACCTTTTCCCTATTAAATACACTGTATTAGTTTAGTAACTGACTAATGACTGGCAGTTATCAATCTGTTTTAATAAAGATGGGTACTAGATAATTTTCAAATTGGATAATCAGTATTTAATTATTAAAAATTTTATCAACAATATTATGTCTCAAAATATTTTATGCAACTTTCTAATCTGATAAACATAACAGAGTCCCTGGTGGCACAGTGGTTAAGAGCTTCGCAACTAACCAAAAGGTTGGAAGTTCAAATCCACCAGCTGCTCCCTGGAAACCTCATGAGCAGTTCGATTCTGTCCTGTAGAGTCACTATGAGTCGGAATCGACTGGACAACAACAGTTTTTTTTTTTTTTTTTTTTGGGGGGGTGGCACAAACGCTTGAGTGCTCAGCTGCTAACTGAAAAGTTGGAGGTTTGAATCCATGTAGAGGTGCCTCAAAAGAAACGCCTAGCGATTTACTTCCAAAAGGTCACAGCCATTGAAAACCCATGTGCAGTCCTACTCTGACACACATGGGGTCACCATGAGTCAGATCCAACTTGACAGCAACAGTTTTGATTTTTACCCCCATATCATATATCAAATAGAAAAGTAAGAAAGCAGGTTAGCGGTGGAGCTGAAATAGTCTTAAATCCTATATTCACTAGCTCCTCTTAACAATTATTAAGACCACATGTCTTGGTTTTAATCCTAATAGTATACTAGTTAAATAAGAACAGAAAGCATGACTTCTTCTTACCTAAAGAAGCAATTGCAAACATTCTATAGAAATCCCACTCCTTAGCATATCTAATCAAGTCATCAGGGTCAGTGTTCTGGTTTGAATCCTGAAGCTGCCACCATCTCAGGTATGCCTCACAAAGCAAACAAAATATGCAGAGTTTTCCGTGGATCTGATAAGCAAAAAGATGTTGCCATTCGATTAGGCAGAGAAACATTTAGCTATGTTTGTGCCTATAAATATTAAGTACAACTAAGTATTTGTGGTTTTGAAAAACGTCCCTTCTGTAGATTTTCAAATTCGGAACTGCAAAATTAAGTGCCTAATTGCATTCATTCTGTAAATCAGTGGTTCTTACTCAGCAATGCCCATCAGAAATCACTTTGGAGAAATTTTTCAAAATGCAAATGTCTAGGCCCCAGCCCAAATTCAGGCCCTAGTTTAGAATCTTTGGGATTAAGACCTAGAATGTATGCTTTGGAACACTTTCTGAGGGATTCTAATGGGCACCCTAATTAAGAACTACTGTTTTAAATAATAGTTCCTTTGTCATTTATATTTTCAACATCTGTCCTATACACAGAATCAAGCACAGAATTTATGTGACTCATGTATAGGTGGAAGCAGCAATAAGAATAGATTTAATCTGAAGATTCCACAATACTTCATAAGAAACTATTAGTCTGACCAAAAATTAAAAAAAAAAAAAAAAAGAGCCTCTGGGCTGGATAAGTATAAATCCATATACAGGCAGTCCTCGACTTATGAAGGGGTTCCGTTCCAATAACTCTTGTAAGAAAGTTCTTATGGAAGCCGAATACTGTATTTTTACACAAATAACGTGCACCTTCTACATTTGTAAAAAAATTAGCTAACAGTTACGAAAATACCTCCCGGGGGAGCGCAGCCAGCAAACAAATACAGAAAGTGTGCATTTTTGCATAAAAATATGGTACTTCCCTTTTTTTTTTTTTCATTATTATTGCGTTTTATTATCAGTATCTTTAGAAATCTGGTCTTTGTCAGCATCAGTGTTGTAACAATGAAGTCGAAGCCATAACAATGAAGGCAGAGTCATAAAGGCTATTGGGCACGTGCACAGTTCAACTATCGTATGTTGTTAGAGTTGAACATTGCCCAACTTTCTATCTATTACAACTCCCTACACTGACACCGACTTCATTGTAGACGAGGCCATAGCCTGCTATATGGCAGTGTTTTGATCAGTAAATCGTAACAATGAACATCTGCAAGTGAACATCTGAGAATGATAACATCAGCAAATTACATGCTGCAACACTGTATGTAGTACATATTACTAACAAACTGTACAAAAAAAAAAAAGGACAGTTGTCCAAGAGCAGTTTGTCGTAACTTGAATATATTCTAAGTCGAAGATTACCTGTATTGAAAAACAGCAATTAAAAGGTGACAAACAAGTTTGGAAGTTATGAAGAAACTGAAACTTTGGCTAAATTAGAAAATACTAGGAAAAAAGAATCAGCTTTCTTCCTATGTATTTCTCCTGGGGATTGAACTTTCTACCAGTATAAAGTGGGGAAAGGAAGCATGTATGCAAAGCTGATACGGCCCAGAGAAGTCAGTCAGTCTAAGGCTTCTGAGGCTCCCCCAGTTGGCACACTGGTTCTCGTGGCTACACACTGGAATTGCCTGGGGAGTTTTAAAAAATACTGATGCTTGGGATGATGGGAATTAATCCCATCCCCAAATATGCTGATTTAATTGGCTCTGGGTGACACCTAGGTTTAGGAGTTTTAAAAGGCCCCAAAGTGATTCTAAGGTGTAGTAATACTTGAGAATCAATGCTCTAATAATATAAAGACTGCCTCAGTTATTTAATGGGGGAGGAGAGGAAGAGGGATAAATAAGTTGCACCCTATGAGGCACTTCTACTCTTTCACATGGGGTCACATCGTCCATGTGAGCTCAAATTCAGGGTTGGCAGATTTAGCAAATAAAAATACAGGACACCCAGTGGAATTTGAATTTCAGATAAAAAACAAATAATTTTTTTAGTATAAGTATGTTCCATGCAATATTTGGGATATACTTAAAAATACTAAAAACTTATTCACTGTTTATCTAATTTTCAAATTTAAGTAAGTGTTCTGTATTTCATCTGTCAATCCTACCTAACCTATGAGTTCAAACTTCAATACACTAAAGGTATGTTTTGAAAAATCCAGCTTTATAAATTAGAACTTTTCCAATTAAATTCAATGTAATTTATTTACTTCATACGTCCCTTAACAGCAGAGTATAAAATGCAATAAATTACATTTTAAATTATTTTTCATTTAATATTTTTTTACTTCTTTTAGGTATAATTCTTTCCTTACTTGGATATGTTTAATTTTATTCTGTTCAAACTAATTGGTGTTTCTTTCAAAAGGTACCCGAGTAAAAGGCAATATAGATTATAGTTTATCAGTTTCTTGCCAACCACCATATTCTTAAATATTCACTAAACACTGTGCACCTTTTTTAATGAACACCTGCTATTTCTAGAAACTTCCAGATATGGTGAGGTAAAAGATCCACTCTCAAGTTAGAATTTTTTTTACAAAAATTATATTCTTCAATTCTGTTCAAAATTATTATCCTTTTAAAATGGAAAAGCATCATCGAGTAAAATTAAAAAACAGAAAAATTATCACAACTTACATTTATTTTAGTATTGAAAAGAATATGCCTGTAGGCCTGGGCTTTGCATAAAATAGCATTAATTAAGATGATAACAGGATCATACTCGATATACTTGTCTACAGGTTTCTGGCAGGATTTCTGAAATAATGCAAGATAATATTAGAATAAGCAAATTCATACATTTTGAAATCTTAAGGTCTATTCTGGACTTGTATAGCAATAAGGTCATATCAGCATTTATTTAAATAAACTTCCATTCAGATACTATACATTCATCTATGTAAGAAGTGGTTTCAGAAATCACTACATATAATCTTCTAGGCTAGAGACATTAGTATTTTAATCTCATATTGAAAAAACTAAAGAGAAATTTGATTTAAAAACTAAGTTTAGGCAAGAAAGTTTCATAGAAGATTCTACTTTCAATTTGTAGGGACTGTTGAAAAATAAATAAATTTATAATGCACTTTCATCAGTGAATTGTTATCCGCTGACTAGACGGCACCTAACTTTGTGGTTCCTGAAACACGGTTTGGAGAAAAGTATACGGAGATGTTACCTTGTGCTGAGAGCTTCCAATGAGCTACAAGTGGGTAAGGAATGTTGTACAGTGCCAGCAATCCTTGGGTGGCAAATACTGGGGGACTTGGTTTTCTCTCCAGTAACACTGAGACTAGGGAGACACTGGAGAATGCTGGGCTGGCTGTAAGGAACTAGGCGGTGCAGCTTGGTTCTAGGTTACCAAAGTAAGGGCGCCTGTGGCTCTCAGCAATTCCTATTAAAATGGCATTTTCCTTCTGAAAAGTATGCAATTTAGAGCACGGTTCTGTAGACATAGGTGATTACAAACTCAGCACCATTAGAACATATAAAATACCCTATACAAGAACAAAGGAGCCCTGGTGGTGCAGTTAAAAGCCCAGCCGCTTACCAAAAAGTTGGCAGTTCAAACTAACTGAACGGCTTTGGGGGAGAACGACCTGGAGATCTGTTTCCATAAAGATTACAGCCAAGAAAACCCTATGAGGCACTTCTACTCTTTCACATGGGGTCACTATGAGATGAAACCAACTGGATGGGTACCTAAGCAAATAACACAACATACAAGAACAAACTCATTAGAAATGTGACATCTGAAACAATATTAGTTACGTGAAGGCTACAACTTCACAGCATAAAACTTAGTGGCTACAATTCAAACACAAGGTATTTTGAAACTGAGAGGACAAAATAAAACTAGAAGTCATGGATGTGCAAACACACTAGGATGACCTTTTAATTACACCAAAGTGCTAGAAGAAGTGAAGTGCTTTGAAGAATATTAATCCTGTACTTCAAATGTAATGAAAAATTGGATTCACTCCCAATTTAAAGAGTTTCTGCACTTGGTATATGGCGTTATAACACACAGGTATGTTTTTCCAGTCATCAATTGAACCAGTGAAGAGAGGTATGCTATTGCTTCAAATTTAGATCTACCTAATAAAATGGACACAAGAAGAGTTAGTATTCTGAAGGTCTTTACCAGAGCAAAGGGTAAGCCAGTGTCTAAACAGAAGCCACAGACTCAGAAATTCTATATTCACGACAAAGAGCTGTTTTACAGAGCCCTCGTTGTGCTACTCATATGAAGAACACTTCCTCTCTTTACATACTCAAGATTGGAAGACCTGAGATGCTACTTCATTTTTAAATAAAACCACAGACTAAGAAGTCAAGGGTCCTCTCCATGTCCATAAAAGTTCTCTAAAACCCATATTCAGACAGCATCACAACTGTGAGATTGAGGGTTGAGACAATTTTCAGTAGGAGGTAGGCAGAAACTAGCACCTGGAGACAAAGTAGCTCAGTTAGTCATTCCTTTTGCACTCATTCGCTTGACAAATGCTTTTGGAATGGCTATTTCATTCACAGCAATAATTCTTGTTACTTAGTTACTTCCATGGACCAGGCACTTCCAAAATGCTAGATATTAACCTTGAGACTTACATCTCTATCCTCAAGGACCTTATAGTCCTTGAGGGAAAAGGGTAAGACAGATAAATAAACACGCCACTATGATATAGTCTGATAAGTGCTATGGTGGGATAATCACAGGGTAACATGAGACCAAACAGAAGAGGCAGCTTCTGGTGTCCTGTGATATGCTACATGCTTTTCCCACCTTCCTGTCTGAGCATGCTGAGTATTTTATAAACACCAAAAACTCATTATAGTGTGCTAGTTCCCTTCCCATCAGCTTAGACCTAGTTTTTCCTTGTTCTGCCTCTATTATTTGCTCTTCCCTTAAGTCTTCTTCAAGTGCTTCTCTCAACTTTCTCTCTTCCTGCCTTTACCTTGAATGTAAGGAAACCACAAGAAAAGAAAAACCAAATAAATGCAGCAAAACACCTTGTTGGGAGACATCTACATTTAGTAAATGTGTTCTCTTATATTGGCAAAATTATTCCATCCCATGTTGTTCACCAACAATAGACATGTATCCTAAAGAGAAAGCCTTTCTTCCAAAAAATCCCTGCAGAACAGGGACCATGCACATCCCTAGGAACTCAGACACCTGGCTGCTTCCACCACCTCAATTTTAATATGCAATCTTAATATGGATATGTCTTACTTTTTCCTGATAAGCTCTCCAATTCCGTAGTGAAATACACCTCTTTCAGATTATAAATTGGCCAATTCGATTTTTTTCTAATGAATATTCTTGCTACTTCTTCCTTCTCATCATCTATCTTTAGGGCCATACCTTTCCCCTCTTATTCTCAAATCTGTTTAGTTTTAGCTCCACAATAAGTAAACCCATATCTTGAAAGTGGAACCCCCTAGACTTTAAGCTCCTCAAGGGAAGGGCTCTGTCTTAATCATCTTTGCATCCAACATCCGAAGGATGGGAACTTAATAATGTAGTTGTTGTTAGGTGCCATCGAGTTGATTTCGACTCATAGTAACCCCACATGACAGAGTAGAACTGCCCCATAGAGTTTTCTAGGCTATAATCTTTATGGGAACAGATTGCCAGGTCCTTCTCCCACAAAGCAGTGGAGCCTCTGGGTGGGTTCAAATCACCAACCTTTTGTTAGCTGCTAAACACTTAACGACTGTACCATTAGGGTTCCTTAATAATGTAGTACTGGATTGAAATTTATGAGACTCTCAAAGGAGTCTTGTTTTATTACTATAATAATGAAGTCATCAAGTATTTGAACACTTAAAAGAGGCAAGGCACCACAGGATATTAAAAATACCGTCTCTTTTAAGCCTAATTATAATGAATGGAAAAAAGTTGAAACAGACAGTGTAGCTAAAAGCAGGAGACATGCTGCACAAGATGGAGGAAAATTAGAGAAACATAGAAAGGCAAGCTGAGAGGAATGGCAACAGAAAAACTAAATACGGCCAAGTGAAAGGAGACTAGGATAAGAAATACAGGTAGATCAGGTTAAGTATATTACTGACTCCAAGGCTGGCAGAGGAAAGACCAAAGTATGCATGAGTTACCTGCAGTAATTACTTAAAAACTTTGAATATTATTTCACAACAGATAGCCTAATGCCTAAAAATTTCTTACTTTTTAATCTCGGGACTTCAAGAGCCTTAAAAATTATTCACTTTATTGTTTAATTTTCAGAGTCTAGCATCAACTAGATTTTTCCTGAGTAATGCTATTATGGCATAAAGTTTATTACAACAAGTTTGAATTAACATGATAAAAATGATGATATTACATGTTCTATCTCATTAGAAAACTTCTGAGTACAACAATGAATCCCTAATGTACTGTGCCACTATTCATTATTCCAAATATAACTCTAAAATCTGTTTCCTTGGAGAGAGAGTGCAATGTTAGGGAAAAGGGGAGAGGAGGTGGCTATTGACCTGAACAGCTATCTAATAATTATTTTCTCTTTGCATAAATAATGGAGTAAAGAAACAAACATAGGATGATTAGGAAAGGGTTTCTGCTATTGTCAGCTTAATGCCAATATTAAAAAAAAAAAAGATTGCTACATTATAAAATATTACTAAAATGAACAGACATATATACTAGCTTTTCTCTGGACAACAGACTATATTCACAGTTACGTGGTCGTCATCTTCCAGATGGACGATTTAATTGGAGTGGCCCAAAAGTCATTAAGTTTAGATCACATATCAATACTGTTCTCTCCCTCGTACCAGGATGGCCAAGAATATGCTAATCTAAAGACCTGGAAATGGGTCATTCATTCAACAAATACTTACGGAGTACCTACCATGTGTCAGGTACTATTCTGGGTGATCCAGCTACATTAATGAATAAAAATTAATGAACAAAGTTTCTGTCCTCATGTAATTTATATTCAATGGGAGGAAATAGGCAATGAACAATAAAAATGTCAAATATATAGAATATCAGAAGATGACAGGTACTATAGAGAAAGATAGAGCAGGGAAGGGTGATAAAGTGTACCAGACTTGGGAGAAGATCACAACTTTTAACTAGTGGTCAGACTAGGCCTCTCTGAAAAGATGATGTTTTGAAAAAAAACTCGAAGGAAATGAGGGAATTAGTCATGCAGCTATCAGAAAGAAGAGCGTTCCAGGAAGAGGGAAGAGTTGAGTGCAAAGGCCCTGTGGAGGGACTTGCCTGGTTTGAGAAATATTAAGGTCAGAGGGACTACAGCGGAATGAGGTAGGGAGAATAACAGAAGACTATATAAGGCCTTATGAGCCATCACGGAGCCCTGGTGGCACAGTGGTTAAGAGCTTGGCTGCTAACCAAAAAAGCTGGCAGTTCAACTCCATCAGCTGCTCCTTGGAAACCCTATGGGGCAGTTCTACTCTGTCCTATAAGGTCGCTATGAATCGGAATCGACTTGATGGAATAGAGACCCTGTAAGACAGAGTAGAACTGCCCCATAGGGTTTCCAAGCAGCAGCTGGTGAATTCCAACTGCCGACCTTTTGGTTAGCAGCCGATCTCTTAACCACTGCACCACCAGGGCTCCTATAAGCCATTACAAAGATTTTGTTTTTAACCTAGTGAGATGGAAAATCATTGGAAGGTTTTGACTAAAGGAATGGCATGATTTAACTTACATTTTAAAAGTATCAGTCTGGCTGCTATGTGGAGGAAAGACAGAAGAGGTGTGAGGGTAAAGTAGGGAGACTAGTAGTTATTACAATAATCCAGGTGAGAAAGGGTTTGCTGATCAAATGAATATGGGCTGTGAGAGAAAGAGAGGGATCAAGGGTGACTCCAATGGTTTTTGGGTTTAGGAACTAAAATGGGAGTTGCCGCTAACTATGACAGGAAAGTTTGAGATGCTACTGAAATTCAAGAGGCGAAGTCAGTAGGTAGTTGGATATTCGAGCCTGGGGGAGAGGTTCAGGCTGAAGAGATAAATTTGGGAATTATCAAAATTTAGATGCTATTTAAAGCCATGAGAAAGGATGAGCTCTCTAAAGCAGAGGACTGAGATACAAAGAGGTCCAAAGGCTGGGCCTTAAAGCACTCCAATGTTAAGCTGCAAGGAAGGCGAGACAAAACCAGAAAGGAGATTGAGAGGAAACAGCCAGTGAAGTAAGAAGAAAACCAAAAGAGCATGGTTTTCTGGCAAGTAAACAGTGCTGCAAGGTGGAGGAAGTAATGCAAATGTTGCTGATAATTCAAGTAAGATGAAGTCCAAGAATTGACCACCGGATTTGGCAAAGTGCAAGTCAGCAGTGATTTTAATAAGAACAGCTTCTAGTGAAATGATGGGTGGGAAAAGAAGCCTGACTGAAGTATGTTTCAGAGAAACTAGAAAAGGAAATATAGCAAGTACAAAAAACTCTTAGAGGAGTTTTGCTGTCAGAGAGGAGAAAACAGCAGAAGCTAAAGGGGGAGAAATAATAGTACATATGCTGGTGGGAATGGTCCAGAAGAGTACTGCTACATGGATGCCCTTAAGTAAATGGAAGGATAGGACCTAGTGCACAAGTAGAGATGTTGGCCTTAGATAGATATATAAACACGTCCTCCATAGTAGCAGGAAGAAAAACAAAGTCTGTGAATGACAATGCTAGTATTGGGTACATGTGATTGGGGGGCTTTTGGAAGTTCTGTTCTGTCTTCATAGTCAAGCAGGGGAGAATATATTAGAAACTTGAGGAGAGAGAAGGTATGTTATGACTCTCCACAAGAGCGAAAGTGTGAATGGACTAGAGAAATGTGATTGCCAGATAGCATTAAGGGCCTACTTGAGGTTAGTGGTCTTGTTTTTCTCCCAGTAATGTTAAGATGCACAGGTGCAAAGACAGATCAGACAACATATTACATCTAACCAGGGTTGAAATTTTGTCAAGTGAGGGAAACCACTTAGAGAGAACACGAAATTGTGGGTGTGTGCACCAGTGTTTATAATGGTTGACGATGGATTATACAGATACACACTCACACTTTGTCTACTCCCTTGGATTTTACTACAGATCATATTTTTCTAAGAAGAATTATTACTAAAACATCATCAGGAGATCAGAAATAGGACAAAAATGTATCGTACACGGGTTCTTTGCTAATGTCTCCAAAAGAACCTCCAATTTTGTGCACTGTTAAAACATAAGACCATCCTCTATAACAGATTATGAACACCTTGAAAGCAGAATTTTTACTTCATCATTTCTGGTTTTTGCATCACCAACGTCCAGTAGAGCTTTGTACACAACAGACATTCAATAACTACAACGGGAGAAAACTGGAAAAAAGTTATTTTAGGTGAATTCAATACGGGTCGTGGAGAGTAAAGATGGGTAACTTCTGTGTGGCAAAGGAAAACTAGCTAAGAACGAAACAGCTTTGGCATGAACCCAAACGTCACCCCAATTCGATTTTTAAAAGTCTCCGCCCGCAGGTCCCTTCGCCTGTGAGGTCTCACCGGTCAAGCATGCCGCTCTGTGAGAACAGCGCTGAGGCCAACGAGTTCGCTATCACTATAGGATTTCCTGCGAAAGCTCGACGGGCCCCGGGCGGAAGTGTCAAGCAACTAACTGAAGACTGTTGATTTCTGTCGTCCTAAAAAGCCGATACAGATCCCATTACTTCTCACGGTACCCAAGTCCCGCTGCGCCATATTCTTCCCAAGGACACCCCAGACAACTCACGCATATAGTTATCTTCAGCACACCGTGGTTATAGTCTCGGTACAGCTCCTTCGCTTCTTCGTTACATTCGATGCACCTGTACTGGCAGGATGCCGAGGCGGCAATAGGAGTCGCTGCCGCCTCCTCTGCGCTCCCCTTCCCCGGCCGCGGCCCGCTCCGCCCGCCGGTACCCATTTGCCTCGACTGCGCGGGAGACTTCCGACACAGTGGCAGGGGAAACGTAAGAGCGCGCGAGCGGAAGGCCTGTGCCGCGCGTTGCTTCCTGGGACTCGTAGTCCTAGTACAGGAAGGGGGCTAGAGGCTCGCAGAGCTGGGCCTACAATTCCCAGAAGGCAACGCCGGATCCTTGCTCCCGCCCCACCTTCCCACGGCCCACCTGTCCCGCGGCGGCTTGCAGGCGGGAGGCTGGAGTGCGGGGACCGGGGCGCCCGCACATGCGCCTTGGGGGAAGATGGCACCTGCCGGTTGCCGCTGCTGCTGCTGCTGCTGCTGGGGCGGCGCTGTGCCCGCCGCCGGCGCTGCCCGGCGCCTCTTGGTGCTGCTGCTGCTGCTGGGGGCCCTGCCCGCCGAGCTGCACCCGGGGGCTCTGGCCACCGAGTACTACTCGCCGCTGGCCCTGCTCAAGCAGGAGCTGCAGCACCGGCAGCAGCAGGAGGCCCCGGCGGGTGGCGGCGGCTGCAACCCACAGTCTGGAGACTGGGGGAACCAGTACTCGGCCGAGTGCGGTAAGTGGGCGGCGGTGGGTGGGAGGCTGGGCGGCCGGGGCTGGGCCGGGGGCCGGGTGTGCGGGACCTCCGCAGCACGTCCTCCCCCGGGAGGCTGTGAGCCCGGAGCCAAGCCGCGAGGGGCTGTGCCGGAGCGGTTCCTGCCGCTTCCTTTCGCGCTCTCCACCCACGCCTCTGCGCGCCCCCCTCCAGCAGCCGCCTTTGAATGGAGAAGGGAGCTGGCAGCGTGCTCCTGGAGCTCAGGGCCACCTCTCCGGAGTCTGAGGCAACTGTTGAAAGGGTGGCCGGTGGCCCGGCCCCGAAGCAGCCTCTGTGTCCGCGGCTGGCCCAGCCCGGGTGCCGTGGGAACGAGCGAGGACGGGCTAGAATTGGGTCCGTGCCTGCGCCCGCAGGGGAGATACCTGGTCATCTTAGGCCTGGAAACTGGGTTTCTTGACCACCTGGGTTAATGTCTTGTATTAAATACATCCTCTAAAAACTTGATCCGTGGAAGAAAGAAAGTAACAAAAGAGCGAGCCCGTTTTATTCTGCTCATTGACATCTCGCTTCCAGTTAAGACTGACTTGTGATCTGCCACGTGTGTCTCCCAGAGGGTGAAGAGCGCCCTGTAGGCCTTCAGACTGCGTGTGTCGGAAGCTTGTGTATATTGGAAACCTGTTGTATATCCTTCCTTTGGATAGGACGCCTCACTGTAATAAGTAATGGGAGATGCCGCAGGGGCAAAACACACGTGTAAGTTTTTTGTTTTGAAGTTCTATAGGGAGTCTTTTCACTCTTCAATCCCTTGTCCTTGCCCTGAGTGAGCTCCTTTGAAAGGGCCTGGGATTACCAGCTCACTAAAAGCTGGCTGGTTGCTTTTACGGCCTGACAGCAGTAGTACTTAGTGTTGTGTACCTGGAAAGACGACTTTAATCAAGATGGGATGAGATGTCAAGATCACAATAATTTCCTTGAGGAAGTCTCACTCAGAAAGAGATGTGTGACTTCTCTATTTTGTATTAGACGTTGACTAGTAATAGTATAAATAACACGGCTGGCATTGCATAGTGGAAAAAGAATGGCTTTTAGCTGTGTCACTTTCTGTGACTCTGAGCAAATTAATGATCTATCTTTGCATAAATTGCTCCTCTGTAAATTGAAGACATTATTACCTAACTTAGATAATAGTTGTACTGTGGTGGCTTACATGTTGCTGTGATGCTGGAAGCTATGCCACTGGTATTTCAAATACCAGCAGGGTCACTCAGGGTGGACAGATTTCAGCAGAGCTTCCAGACTAACACAGACAAGGAAGAAAGACCTGACAATCTACTTCTGAAAATTAGCTAATGAAAATCCTATGGATCACAACAGAATATTGTCCAATATAGTGGTGGAAGATGAGCCCCATAGGTCAGAAGGCACTCAAGATACACAGTGGCAGCAACAATGTACTCTAACATACCTGTGATCATGAAGATGGCATAGGACTGGGCAACATTTTGTTCTGTTGTACATAAGGTTACCATGAGTCTGAGCAGACTTGACGGCACCTAACAACAACATTACCTAACTCACAGGGTTTTATCTTCCTCACAAGGGTGCTGTGCAGAAAATAAGAATAGCCAATGTATATGGAGTGCTTGCCGTGTACCAGGTGTTGTGCTAAGTGCATTGCATGAATTAGCTTAGTTAATACTCATAACAAAGAGCCCTGATGGCACAGTGGTTAAAGCGCTTGGCTGCTGCTAACCAAAAGGTGGGCCATTTGAACCCACCAGCTGCCCCATGGGAGAAAGATGTGGCAGTCTGCTTCTGTAAAGATTTACACCCTGGAAACACAATGGGGCAGTTCTACTCTGTCCTATAGGGTCACTATGAGTAGGAATCAACTCCATGGCAGTAGGTTTGGTGTTTTTTTTTAAATCCTCATAACAACAGTAACTACCTCATTGGATTGTTATTTCCTTTTCTCAGATGAGGAAACTGAGACACAGTGAGAATGTCAGTTTCTTGAGGTCACACAGCTGTAAAGGAGCTGTCGCAGCGGCGACAGTTGTCGGGGCGGCGGAGACAATAACCAATGCTACAACTCTTACAGAGAAGTGGGGCCAGGAGGGTCACTTTGAGGAGTCGAACCCAG